TCAATTGTAGAGCAATATAGAAATACCACTGTGATAATAGTGCTCATTGCTTTTATTATAGAGCGATATAGAAATACCACTGTCAAAATAGTGCTCAATACATCAATTGTAGAGTGATATAGAAATATCACTATTAAAATAGTGCTCAATGCATCAATAGTAGAGCAATATAGAAATACCACTGTTAAAATAGTGCTCAATACATCAATTGTAGAGTGATATAGAAATACCACTGTTAAAATAGTGCTCAATACATCAATTGTAGAGTAATATAGAAATGCCACTGTTGAAATAGTGCTCATTGCTTTTATTATAGAGCGATATAGAAATACCATTGTTAAAATAGTGCCCAATGTATAAATTACAGAGCGATATAGAAATACCACTGAAAAGCGAGAAACACCGTTTTGATTTTTTTCCATTTTTTTGAAAAAAATCGAAAAGGAAATAACTATAAGGCTTCAAAACAAGAATTTGGTTTGAACTTTAAAACTTTGTAATAATGTTTATATCTTTGCCAGGAGTTAACAAAAGGTTTTCGAGTCTTCTTGGGGCGTTTTTCATTCACCATTTCTATTTCCTGTCCAATGTCAGTGGTTTACTGTATTTTCGGAAATACTGAACCAGTAAATGACACCAACATCGCTTATTTGATTGAAAACTTATTATGAATCCCTATTCATAACTTGATAATTTGAAACCTTTCAAATGACGAATTTATATCGTTCATAAACATTGAAAAGAAAACGAAAAACGAGAAAAATAATTTTAAATAAATATATAAACTTCGCCTGAGAATTGCCAAGAAATTATTTAACGAATATTAAACACAACTTACATAAGATAAACTTTCTTGTTTTAAAAATATCATTTCTATTCCAAACTTAGCTCATCATCAAGAAATACACAAATTTCAATGCGGGTGCAAAAACTTTTCATTTAGAATCATACTCGACTACAAATCTCAACCATAATATTACTTACCAATATAACTTGTTCGATCCTCATCTAATCCTATCTATTTATATACCAAATGCATATACGAGGGACTCGACATAATTTCCTTGTACGTCAGACACAATATAAAAGAACATCTATAATTTCAATAGAAATATTTGTTATGCTCAGTTCACACCAACGGCGCTTTGATGGCGCTTTAAAGCGGCGTTCAAAGCGGTACCAAAGCGTAACAAAGCTCGACTAAAGCGCCAGGGTCGTAATAGAACGTTGGAAAGCAAAGCTGGATATTCGGCAAGAGCGCCAAAATTTTTTAAACTGTTTAAAAATTTTGGGCGCTCTGTCACGAATTGATTAAAGCGCCGAGAACGTATAAAAGCTTAACAAAGCGTAACAAAGTTCAGCAAAGCTTGACTCAAAGCGTAGGAAAGCTTAACAGAGCTTTATTCAAAGCGGGGACCCCAGTCTTCACGGTCTGTCACCACTTGATCAAGAGCGGCATGAAATTGGCCATTTCGAAATATTCCAATGCGTAACAGAGCTTAACAATGCACAACAGAGCTTGATAATCGTATCAGAGCGTGATTTAAAGCGTCATAACCGCATCAAAGCTTAATAAAGCTTATCAAAGCGTGATTTAAAGCGTAACAAGGCCTGATCAAATCGGGAAATAATTTGTCCCCAAAGCGTAACCAATTCGTATCAGAGCTTATCAGAGCGTAACATTACTTAGGAGATCGTGATATTTTTGGAAAAGTAAACAAAAAATGATGGCGCTTTGCTCGCGGATTTAAAGCGCGGCATTCGCCGTTGGTGTGAACTAGGCATAACCGACAGAGAGCGGTTCGTCCTGATTCAAAACCTATCTATATATATAACGAATGCATAAATCATGGACATAAAATTCCATTTAATTTAGCTTCAATTATTCAATTACAAAATCCCTCCAAAATCTAATAAGAGTTATAAGTATCAACTAATTGCTGAGAGTTAAAAGGAAATAGGAAATGAATAGTTACTCTTTCACGTCGGACGTAAATTGTTTATTTTCAGTGATATTCGTCCCCGAATAAAGATATTAAAAATAATATTTCTTACCGATGTAAGTGTTTAGTCCATTAACTGATTGTCATTAATCCATAGAAAATATAAATAAATAAGAGTGTTTACTCCTACATGTTATATATAGAACTAACTTCAATCACTCTACACCAACACTTTCAGTTGAAGAATCACAGAAACTGTACTGAACTGGTAGAAACTGTGTGTATCGAATTTCTCGAGTTGAATAACTACTGCCACAGCATGGAATCGCACATTAAACCTGAGGCTCTGTTAGGGTTTAACGAGAACAGCGTTGAACATCCGGAGGAATGGTTAACCTAAATTCCACAGTTGGTGATATAAATGAAAACATTCCTGCTATTCTGATTCTGATTATCACAGCCTGAAGAGCTCTTTACACTGGCTAGTCAAGTCCGTAGCCAGGCTGGATTTTCAGGGGTGGTATATCCGGAGGGGTAAAAGGAGGAACATTCAATTAAGTTTTCCTATTGCTACCTCGAATGAAAGAAAGAATTCAATATCAATAGGGTAATATGGGGAATACCCACCCTAAGAATTCGATTTGGAAGAATATAGAAGTTGCAATTATGATGAATAATATGTAAACCTCAGTTAGGTAATTTATTATCTATTAATAGTGACTTTACATAACAACTACTTTACTTATTTTTAATATAAAAGGGCATCCGTTAAAACATTGTACATGTCGTCTCGCCCTGATGACAAGGGAGCCGCTGTGCACGTTAAAGATCCCTCGACAGTTGGAAATCGAAAAAGAGCAGGCTAATGCCGCTGTCCTAGAAAAATTTCCCTCATTGCACCCTGCATGGCGTTGCCCGTCTTCATTAGCCCACATGGTGCAGAAAAGTAGGACGTAAAACTCCATTCATTTCATTTCATTTTTTCGCCCTGGTGATAATCAGAGGGTGTCATTGAACAAAGACTTAACTGGATTTGGAAGGGATGAAATATTCAACTAAGATGTCCTGGAGCCTCGAACTGTTACTATCACTTTACTTATTTTGAATATGAAAGGGTGTCTCGATGCGGTGTTCAGTAAACTCGTTTACATGTCAACTCGTCAACAGTTAACTCGTCTACAACCTCTAGTTACATTGTATTCAAGCTACAGACCCTGATCAAATTGTTGAAGTCTGAGTTCAATTCTCAGTTGTGTCCCTTTGTCAGTAAGAAGAAAATCTTCTTTAAGTTTCACCCTGATAGGACCCCTGTTTTTAATGAAAATTGCAGACTAGTGTCTCCGTACATCAACTCTTAAAACAGATGGGGATATCAAATCAAAAGAGAATAGAACAGAATTAGATTCTGCATACATTTAGTATGCTTGTGACGGTTTGAGTATAAAGTTGATAAGGGAACGTGGACAAATGATAATATATATTTCCCGTGCGTGCTCCCGCATTCAGCAGCTTTAATCCCCTGCTTTTAAATTTCCTATTTAAGAAAGAGAAAGATCTGAGCCTCTCTTGACCCTTGGATGCTTCACCTATTAGAAACTTCACTGTCCGAACCCTCTCGCTTATCCTGTCCCTTCGGTTCTTAAATTGTTGTATAGATAATCCTAATCCGGTAGCAAGGTAGTGCTGGTAGCCTACTTCCTCTGCAACCGCACATCCATGTTTACCAGGTGTGGACGCCTAACACACTTGAGCAATCCTCCAACAATACAGTAGATGTTGCAAAAATGAACCAACTAACCTTTCTCAAATGTGGTTGCATCAACTCAGATTCGCACATGGATTGTAAATTTGTTTCCCTTTCGATTTACTTCTGGAATATCTCCGTCGCAATCTGATGACGCTTTAATACTCATTAGGAGTAAAATTTTCCTCGAAATATGTCCCAATTTTGACAGGTATAAAAAACTTGTAAAGAACACAGATAGTTTCAAAGTGCAGACAATAAGTTGTTGGTATTGTAATCAAAGCTTAAAGTGATACAGTACTCTAATCTGTACACTTAAGGTCTTAAGTTCTGTTATTCAGAGATATTACATTCTAGGTGTTCAGTTGATAAGGTTTTTTTTTACGCTAATCATATTTTTCGGAAGGTTGAACAAAAATCTATAATGGGCGGAAGTGACATTTTAAGTTGAATTTAAGTCAAATCTTAAGTGAAATCGGTATCAACTTTTTTGGCTGTAGAAATTCCTTTTCCTTCATTAACTGACGAATTCGGCAGCTTAGAGATGGGAAAGCTGTATCAGTTGGTTGTATAAATTCGACGACTATATCACTTAAACGATTGTTCAGATTTTATTTTGTCTATGGGAATCCTTCTTACGTGGATTATCAGGATTCGATAACAATTATCAACCTTACTATTAGCATGATATTGTTTAAATAACAATCAATTACAATGTACCATAGATGGATTCAAAATTGGTGTGAGAACTTTTTGATAGAGTATCTTTTACATTTGAGCCTCTGACGTTTGTGGTTCCGTAAAAAATGAAATGAATGGAGTTTTACATCCTACTTTTCTGCACCATGTGGGCTAATAAAGACAGACAATGCCATGAAGGGTGCAATGACGGAAATTTTTCCAGGATAGCGATAGTACCCTGGTCTTTTTTGATTTCCAACTGTCGATGGATCTTTGACATGCACAGCCTGTAACACGCGGGGCCTGGGTTTATCGTCCCATCTGAACGACATGTCAGTCCCTCTTACCTACATCACTGACGGGGAAACCGTAAGGTCTCGACCTACGCCGGATTTAAACCGTGAACCTTTAGTGTGGTTCCGTCACAAACACCATGCAAGTCTGGTTATGGAATTACACGATCCACAGACGTATGATTGGAAACAATGCTTTCATTAAGGGAAATGATCTAGTCGTTTCACATAGATATATCCATTGGTGTCCCTTCTCTGGTTTACCTAATGCACGGAAAAGTAAATTTCTGAGTTTTTCAACTCCCGGTTGGGATGACAACGGTAAATGACAATTATTGTAATATTTGACAAATTTAATGAGTAATAACAAAAAATCGACATAAACCATAAAGTAACAAAATCAAAATTTATTGAATGGTGGAAATCTACAGGTTAAAAATTACACTGATCGTAAACAGGATCCTAAGATTTCTTAAGTGACCTTTACCAGTTGCATGTTTGCCAATAAAAATAGCGGTCGTTAGTTTCGAACGCAACTCTTATGTCACTGAGTTGCGAGTTGACTTCGAAACTCATGACCACTTTCATTATTCACAGTAATACGCAACTGGTACTTATTATCGTGTGAAGTCAACTTCAGTGACAAATGGTTCACACTGTTCACAATTTCTAGGGCTGTATATATTTTAAGACTGATAATTTTCCAAGAATCTGATGTATTTAATGCTGTATCGTTTTGAAGGAGTTAAAAACAACAGAACTAAACAATGTCTCATACAGGACTAGAGTGAGGGCAGTAGAGACGCCAGACTCCATAGACTGGTGGTACAAATGGGGAGACAACTGTCAGGGCTAAATTCAAAATGCGCAAATCTATGTTACAAGAAAATTCTTAAATCGTATAAAAAAAACATAAATTTGTTAAATATAGCGTGGGTACAATTGTGTGTGCAAGCCAGTTTTGTAGGGGGCCAAATGCCTCCCTACCCCTACTAATCCAGGTTGTAATCTGTTCTGTAGATAGCACAACATTACAAAAGTACAGCACACTCTGGAGAATAGCCCGGAGTGAAATGATGTCTGGTGGACAACTCTCTGAAATATGATCCAGAAATATACGATGTCTGGTATTTCTATAAGTTTTGTTTTAAACATACTTGAATATAACTCAGGGGTTTCTCTAAGCTTATATAACATTAAGAGTGAACCATTGTCTGGAATAGTCTCCATCATAGAAACACTTAACACACAGTTTAATGGTGTAATCATAGTCATAATTTCAGCTTTTACACTTTATACAAATAAATTACACTAAGCTAACACCACATCAGCTGATAGCAGGTGCCTTTTCACGATATTTTTTAAACCTTTTCCATTCTCCAGTCGAATAGTTCATTTGAAAGTATGTATCGGCGATCATAATTTTTTTATTTCCGTCGGCTTGTTGTATTGTTTCATCATCTTCTGATAGTTTGATACTCAGTACACTGCCTTGTTGGGGGCAGGGATTCTCTGAAACATAGAAGAACGGTCATTGAATAGAGAAGTTTTTACCTTTACTGATTATAAATTAAACAAAACTCTACAGTTTACTTATGCTGTATTTGTTACCTCTGGGAAATACGACTTTCAAGATGATATACAGCTTTTAGTTACTTCGTCACATTCCAGTGCAGTTACGGTGATATGAATACATTGAACAAGGTGTCAGATATATCATGACTGCCTTCGGCTCCTCATTTAATTTGACACCTTGCTCAATGTATTTAGCAATGGGTCCATCGTTCATTGCACAATTATACAGATACTTCAAACACGACCTTACCTCTGGAGCCAGCCATAAAGCCTAATATCAAAGCTTTCTCTGGTCTCGACACTTTATTAGAATCACGAAACATTTCTTGAGCTTCTATCATTTGCTCTCTCTATAATAAATATATTAATACATATAAGACATCTACAATAAGTAACAAACACAATGAAAGTCGGTGTCCTGCTTTGCTGTATCTGATCGGGATGGATAATGATAGAGTGAAAATGAGAGGACATTTTGTCAGGACAGAAACACAAGTTTACTCAATTTCCTGCTGCTGAGTCATTATGGTTTCCCTAATAAGTCTTAGAATGGTCTTACCGTTAAGGATAAAGCTTTTTTAATCTGGCCACCGGCAGGAACAGGTTGTGGCTGTGTTGGGGGAGCCATCGTACCAGGTTGACCTATGACCTGTTGTTGCTGTGGTAACGTCTGTTGTGGATATTGTTGTATTGGAGCAGGTGGTTGGACTATGATTGGTTGAGAAGAGTTCACCACTCCAGGACTTGTTTGGGATAATGTATTCGGCGCTGGAGGAACTGTTGTTTGGGTTCGAATCTGAGACTGACCAAGTTGTTGCTGAAGCTGCTGTTGCAGATTCTGTCTGGCCGTCTGCTGAACACTAGAGGACAAGGGAGCTGGAAATCAAAAACAATCTCATCAATATCAATCAAGTCAGGTCTACTGGACTGGGCAATAATTGGTCAATGGATTCGGTAATACCAATATATCATCGAAATCCAAAATGTCTATGCTTTTGCATACCCTATACAAAAATATATAGTCTTTTTTCCCGTTTTTTTCTTTGCCACACACCACTCTGATTCTCTCATCTTTGCAAGTGACTACATTACATATTGCTTGAGCTATATATTGGGAGAGAACTAGGAGTTCTATCAAGTATCTCTAAGTCAATATTTATACATTTTGGGAACTCCAACCTATCCTTGCCTATAACCTAATCAAATAAATGAATAATAAATGTCCATGATCTAGATTATGAATCAATGAGAAAGATTCATATACTAACCAATATTCCCTGTTAGTGTGATACCAGTAGGAGAAGGATTAGCTAATCTGCTGGTTGCCGTGGGTACATAAGCTGGAGTCGTAGATGATAAAGGATTTGGTGTAGAGCTCACAACAGCTGTTGGCATTTTCTGAAAATAAGTCACATCAGAAGTTTAAAATAATCATCAAAAATATACAATATATGCACACTATATTTGCGTATATAGTATACAAAAATCACTCATATTGGTCGAATTAGTGCAGAGATAATATGGACCAATTAGATTACTAAAAGTTCATAAAATACAAGCCTTATCAGTTACAAATATTCTGTTAAATTCCAATCCAAATCAAGAGAAAGATGACCACAACAATATTGACTTACAGGCGTTGCCGGTGCCATTAATCCTGCAGCATAATCTGGAGTAGCAGACACAGTTGTAGTTGCTGTGGTAACAGCCAGTCCTGCAGCAATGGCTGCCTCTTTTTCTTTCCGTTGTTGTTCCATGGCTTCCACTTCTGGAAAGAAAATAAGTAATATTCATGGGAAATTGTTTACCATTTAGTCTACTTAAGAATTAAACTACCCCTTAAAAGGTTTTAAAAAGGGAGGTTATTCAGCAATTGTTGGTGCAAAACACTACATTACAAAAAATAAAATTCTTTTAAGTTTAACACTATTTAGTTAGCCTTGAGAATAATCTGTGCTCTGTGGCACAAGCTGAAATTTTACTGTAGAATACATAACATACAATGGGGCAGTAACTTCTCATCCATGACAAGATGGTGTGATGTAAAATCATTATATATAAGATAAAAATAATTGTTACCTGCTTGTTTCTTTCTACGTTTAGCTTCTTTAGCACCTATAGGTTGTTCACCTATATCTAAGAACTACAATGAATAACAGAGTAATGAATTAAGAAATGAACACTTTTTCCATATCTCATAAAGCTTATATTAAGTTGAGTAACACCAGGCAAAGTGCAATGGAGACAATTATTTAAGTATGGAAGCAATAGCGTACAGAACATTAGAAGTCATATTTATCTACAAGTTACACTTTTCAGATGCGAATAACATAACTGCATATAAATCAGGGACTATTTAACAAAAAAACCTCTTTTGATCTCCAATCAACCACTACTGGTAAATACAACCAAATCAATACCCCTTATTCAGATAATAAATTACCTTACCTTAATTCCTCCTTCTTTCTTTCCAGAGCCTGACCTAGCTGGTAAAGGCATGTGTCCTATAGGTGAACTATTCAGCCTAGCTAGACCAGAGCTTGGTGTTCTATAGCCTGATGGTAGAGGAGTTCTACTTGGTAATCCCTTTAATGGGGCTAAAAATAGATCAATATCATATCAAGGGATGTTTTTTCAAGATTGCTGCATAATGGAAGCACTCCCTCACTTTTATAACAAGTACCAAATAGTATGAATTTTTCAATTTTGCCTTTTAAAACCACCTTTTGTCTCATGTTAACTTTGATTGTATTTACAGTCATGTCTCCTCTATCTTCATTCTCTTTTGGCTATTGAAGACAGGAAACAAGATCTGTCATACATAGGTCAATTTGTTATAAAAATTTAAGATAACAAAAACAACTTACTGGCATCATCCATCTTTTTAGCAAAACTTCTGATTTTAATGGGGACACTATTTGGCATATTATTTTTCCGATTATTGGCTACTTCATTTGCTGGAATATCAAATAAAAACAATACATAAGCTTGTATAAAACAACACAGAGTTCTCAAAATCTAAATCTCAATCACACAATGCAACTCTTTTTTATGAAAGATGACACACTGTACGAACATTAATAATCGATGCAAAAAAAAGCATAATGTTTATTCGATTGACCTGACTAAATGACAAACTTTTTGTAGAATGAATATAAAGAAGTATAATTATCTCATTAATATTAAAATATAAAGCAAACTTACATTTCTGAAGTAATTCACGTTTTAAGGTGGCTGATTTTGGTTTACGTTTGAGTGTAAAATGTTTAATAGGTTGAGAAGAATGGCCAGCTATTGAGTTTAAAGCTGATCTATTGACAAACTGACATTCTAGTGGTAACATTCTAACATCTATACATTTTTTCACTGTAATACGAATAACAATAATAACAAATTATATTTGCATTTGTATGTTCACGTCAATGGCAGCAAGGCCCTTGCATGTCTCCTCTTCTTACCTTCATCTAACATTGTTGAGATGGAGCTACACTGACTGTTTGTGTTGGTCAGACAAAATAATGTGAACTGTATGAAATTACAAATTTTCAAAACTTACTCATTTTCTTCAAGTCTGTAACAACATCAGCGAATGTATTACTGAATCCTTCCAGTTCACAATTGATGGTACCAGTTGATGGGTAGGTGCGTAACATCTCAGCCACCATACACACCCATGGATCACTGTCATTCTCAGCCATTGCCAGTATCTCTTCTAAATCTACCTTCCACTGAAAGGAAATGGTTCAGTAAGCCTTTAAATTAAAAACTTAGAGAGAATTTCCACCTTTTTTATAGCAAAAAATTCAGTTTTATAAAGAAAATACATAGATATAAATAGCATACTTTAGAAATAGGTCTATTTTCTTTACAACATTATTGCTATGTAGGCCTAATGAAATGTAGGATGACTCCTTTAAAAAAAAAAAACAAACAATTTGACAAATATAGAACAACGAATGAATCCACAAGTTACTAAACTCTTTGTTTTTTTTAATAATAGAAGCCTTGAAGCTTAGTATTGGAGAGGAATGGTCGGAAGGACAACATATTACATTCACCCCAAAAAATGAAAAGAAAAAAAGTGAAGTTGTAAGCTTATGCACTAAACTAAAGGATCAAAGTTTTTAAATCAAATATTTCTTGATTTCTATATTCAAAACAAAACTCTCCAGATTCCAAATCGAGAATGGGAAAGTCTTTATAGCGAAATTAATGTGTAGATCAAAAGTCATTTTGTAGATTTGAAAGAAAAGTGAAACGTAAACAAACCTGTTCGGTATTTCGCCGAGGCATATGGAGGAATGCCAGCAACAATTTGACTTTGACATGCGGCTGAAGTGTATGAAAACATTCCTGGATACTTTGCAGACGTTCTCGTGAAAGCTGTGAACATATTGTCCGGCCTGACCATAAATCATCGGTGGATCCTAATTTATTATGAAGCCACAGAGCAGTATCTCCCGCGGCCATATTGAAAAGAAACGGCAGCAAAGGAAACCATCATTTTCCATTGGTTGAAAATTGTCAATAATGGAGTTAGCCCCCTTTGATTATTTCGCAGTGGTTTTATAGACCACAACTAAATGCTTTTGTAGATTAGCAATATCATCCTATATAATACAGTACATCATAAATGAAATGAAGTTGCTGCTCCTTATTGGACTAAGTTAACCATTAAAGTAAATTTGAAATCGTTTTATTGTAGGCCAATGGCTCTGCGATGCAAAATTTTGCAAAAATTTTAAGATATGCGCTTTGCAAAGTTAAAGGAGGAATCAGAACATTTTGTTTTGTTATTCAATGTAGATTATAAACCTAACAACCTTCCATAGAGTAGATTTGGATAAAAAAAACTGTATTGAAATAGTTCATGTCAAAATTGGTCAACGAACCCACGCGTTACAATTTCACAATAGTTCATATAGTCCAAATCTTCTTTCGCCCTACAGTAACCAATTCAATAGATCCAATGCATAATAGGTCATAAAAGTTTTTAAAATTTTGCTAACACATGTTATTATAATACATAGTCTAAAGAATGAGTATTGCTTGTATCTAAAGGCCCCCGTCACACCAAAGCGATCACCAGTTGCGTATAAGAGTTGCATTCCACACTTATAACCGCTATTCGTGTTCGCGACCATACGCAACGGGTGATCGCTATGGTGTCCTGCCGGAAAATATGCTCACAGGTTTCACGAGAACGTCTGCAAAGCTTCCAGGAATGTGTTTCTATACAAGTCAAATTGTTGCTTGGATTCCTCCATATACCTTGCTTACGTTTCATTTTTATGGTGTAAGAGCACCCTTAAAAGAGTTCAATAAGCCTACGCATTTTTATAGATTCCCTTATTCTGTAAATACTTCAAAAGATGATTAAAATAGCACGGATTAGTTCAAAAAGCTTTTAACATTTTTCTGGGGCGTGGTCCTATTTTATTGATTATTCGAAAGATGTCAAAAAATATCAGGGTCACGGGCATTTATTTGAAGAAAATAGTGAGGTGGGACGGAATGGAAGAAATTCTATTGAAAGTTTACACAAAATATCTCTATCATAACATTTGAACTTACCCGTAAACCGTATTTAACTGTAGAATTGAGCTCAATTATACCAATAGTTTTTCGCGTTTAAAGTCTGACAAATTGACCAAAGCTTTTAGTCTACCATGTTCCAAACTTGGAAACGGTACGATTATTCACATCTCACTACATGATCATTAAATTATGTATCGTTGCTTAAAGAACATGCTAGTCGACTGGATCCTCTTGAGATTTTACTCTACTTTCGATAGTAAGGATGCGTTTCACAAAATATCTTACGATAAGAATTGATCGTATGTGTATAATATTACATTGAGAAATAACTATACTTACGACAAAATTGATCTTAAGATTTTTTGTGAAACACGGTTCGAGTTTATCAAGTTGGGAACATTCTGGCATGCTTACAATATTGCAAATTGATAAATGTGTATCTTTAACAAGTGGACAATTTTTTTCAAACAATTTTTCTTATTATGAAGTTAGCGCAATACTCTCTTTAAATTCAAATATTATACATATACAAACAGATATTCAACAGTGCTACAAATGTTATTTATTATATAGAAAATACAAATCAGTAAACGCTAATATCGTATTATATGCAAACGGATCCTTACAGTGCTTCAAATTTATACTATTAAATAGGGTAAATACAAATCGGTGAAGGCTTATATATCGTAATGTTATTGACTTATAGTTGTAGGTCTCTATGATTAAGTAACCATAATAGTTGCTTCTGAGGTTGAATATAACCTGTTTCCACTTCAAAACTTAATCCTGTTTATAATTTTATTAGAAATAAATTGATTTAGTTTACAATAATAGTTTTTTAATATTCATTCAGACCCATTGACATGTATAGTTCTAACTTGACTACGCCTGCAGTTCGGCGGTTTCAAAGAAAACAAATTGGTCAAATTGATCCATTGTCAATACTAGGTCATCTGCAACTGGCGCGGTTATTTTTTCTGAGACAGTTCAATTCAATGCCATAATGATTTTTTGCACTATAAGGTGCTGTAAGATGCATAACATTGATTTGGTCACAATGTATATGGAGATATGAGTGATTGCATTCGGGAATCCATGGCATATCGTAAAGCTGCAGAGCGCTAGCAAAACCTTCACGGTAGACCGTTTGGATAGATCGGTCACAAAGGGAAATTGATCACATGGTTACATGGTTATTTGGTCTCAAAGAGAATTGGTCACATGACATATTGGTCAAAGTATTTTAGTCATCAAGTAAATTGGCCATAAGATCAATCGGTCACAAGGTAAACTGGTTACAAGGTAAATTGGTCACAAGATAAATTGGTCACAAGATATTTATGCATAGTAATTACACTACATGGTTTCGTCAGTCTTCATAAGGCCATTCAGAAACAAAAAAGTAAATGACATGAATTTCAAAAACTAGCCAGTTCTGATTTCAAAACAGCACCCCTCAAGGACTAGACTAAACCATATAGTGATATTTTGTTTTGTAGGTCAACTTTTGTAAGAATAATATTAGATTCATAGAATTCAAATATTTATGTGCGTAGGTGGCTGGAAGAATATGCCCCTTGCTCGAGTTTGTTTTTTTAATAGTATTGTAGCTATGGGTCCTTTACCTATAGAACTTAAAACACGACTATTTATCGGATTGCTATACAACTGACCGGAAGTTGTGATGGATCAATCATTTTTTCCATCCTCACAATGTCAAGCTTTTATGAACTTCGTCTTATACCGTGACTACAATAGCCACTATTCTTGTATCATGGAATGAAGCGATTCGAATGGATTGTGCGCCGGCAGTAAACATTGTGGCTTCGCGTTCACGGACTTTCTGTCGGGACCTCTAATTGGCTGTATTCGCAAGCCTACAATGCAACCCCATAAAGAGAGATACCAGAGAGATGTCAAGGTATATATTATACGAAGTTCGTAATAGCTTGAATTTGTGGAGCTGTATTCTTTCGAGGTCAGACCTGGATCTCAAAATCCGAAAGCTAAATTACAAGGGCAATAATTTACATCAACCAACCCGCAGTTCAGTTAAGAACCCCTGAATGTTGGACAAATAGGGTGTGGCCTTTTGGAACAACATAAACCCAACTCGGTCACTCTACTTTATTAATGAAAAGAATAAAAACTGAATGGAAAGTAAATAAATTGGTGAAATTTTGTACAATGTTCTGTTATGATTAGGTAAATAACTAGTTATATGGCTGATCAAATACTTATAAAATTATTTCTATTCAGTTGAAATTGGATAACACTTGCGTCTGTTTACTTGAACTCTTGTTGATTCGACAGAATTAAGCGGCGTCGGTAAATTTGATTTTTTATGTAACGATGACGTCACTGATCAACTATAACAGTTACAAAACATCCAGATAAAAATGAATTTTTTCACTATGGAGGTGGTAATTTGGATATCGTAAATTTGGCCACAAGTTAAATTGGTCACAAAGTATATTTATGACAAGGAAAATTTGTCACAATTGATTTGGTCACAAGACGAATCGGGAACTAGGTTATTTGACCACCCGGAATATTTGAGACTGGAATAACTGATCAACGACAAGAGTTACAAAACATCAAGATAATATTTTCCATTTTTAAAACTACTAACCGCCTCCTGTACCTACACTAGCGACATCAGATTACAGTTATGCAGTGTCATATTGTAATATTGCAGCTCAAATTCAATAAACTCTGTGAACATGTTGACAAATGACCACGAGGATGCATTTTTATGAAACACACAATAAATATCATGAACATACGGTGGTTCGTTTAGGACATGTTTATTTTTTTTTACTTGTGATTTAATTCTACTTATTTTTCATTTTTTTTGCTGAATTATCATTTTTGTTTACTATTTTTATTTTTATTTGCCGAATTATGATTTATTTCCACTTATTAAATCATAAATTAAAAAAATCAAACATGTCCTAAACAAACCTCCGTATGAACATTCAGTTTCCCTTTAAGGTAAATCATGTTGGTGTTTTAGTTTACGAAACAATTATATGGAAATTTCTCTCTCGTTTAAACACTGCTATTTTGGTCACTTTTTTTATTCAAATGAAATAAGATAACCCTTGTGTGTATTTACTTCCAACTCGTGGTGAATCGACAAAATAGGACGACAGCCGCTGATTTAAATTTTTATGTAACGGTGACGTCACTATAAAATTGTTATAAAACACAAAATAAATAATATTAACATAAACTCCTTGGTTTCCTCTGATATAGGTTAGATTAATGGTACGACATGGATATAGTCCCATATTCTATTCCAAAGCCAAACCGCTTTTTGCGATAGTAAAGGCGATAGTTTGGTAAATTTTGATCAGAGACAAATTTTTACGAATTTCATGCAGAGGTCCGGTCAAAAAGCAGTTCGTAAAAAGGATTCTCCGGAATTTAAATTTTTGTTCTTGTAAAAAAGGGTTGAATATCTGCTTTTTCCTTTTTTCCAGTTTTTTTAACCTTGCCCAAAATTAAGATCGCTCACCGCTACAGGGTTTAAGCGCTCTTAAAATTTTCTGTACCACACCCTTAAAAATTAAATGATAAAATACTTGATCTCTTCATACAGATTTCTGAATCCTTCAAAAGGTTTAAAAATTAAGCTTGCAATATCTTTTACAAGTAGTTTATTATGTTTGATAAGGTATATTAATTTGCAATAACTGGTTTTTCAATTTCTTTCATAGCAATTATAACGATTTCAATAACATCTTCAAAAACACCCAACGTGGAAAGGTGGAATGACCTATTAATAAAAATTGAAAAAAGTGTTTTTCAACCTGCCAATCTGTGTAACCTCCGACGTCATTCAAAAGGCAATTCTTAATATTATATCTAAAAAAAATACTGTACAGAGCGGATTAGTATTGTCATGCAGAATATTTTGAAAGAATCAATAATATTTTTAATCATATCGGCATCCATGCAAATCTGTTTTACAAGAAGGAGGGGTTCAATATCATTCAAAAAAGAACCTCGTATTCAAACACTTATATAAAAACGCCAAGTTATTAAAAATCATGTGAAACCAATTAAAACTGTCTTAGAATAATTTCTATTATTTGTGGTATTTTAGTTGTCACTAGAGCGCAGGGTTGCTTTCTTAACATCAGTCTGTTCACAAACATAATACAGGTTTTTGAAAAGGGGTTTGGTAATATTAAAAGGAGGCATTATGAATTATAAACGCCCAACATTCTATCCATTGAGTACATAGATAGTATATAATAGTGCAGGTAGAGTCGAGGTGAGAGAGTGGCTGTAATAGTCATTAGACCGTGGTTCAGTACAGTTGGATATTATTTTCTCGACATGCGGGGACCGACTTGGTCTGTGATCCTGCTATTGATCAATTTGATTGTTACACTCCAAGGTAAATAAATACACACTATTATTGTATTAGTATATCGTTATAGAAATAGAAATGGAACTATATTGAGACTGACCTAATAGTCTAATTTTCTGGAGATTGCACTGCTAAAATATAGTAATATAAGTGTTCGGACAGAGGAATCCCAAATCAATATGTTTCTTAAGGCAGCAGGGGGTCAGAATCAGTGTGTTTCGGTCAATGATCAGGCTTTAACAATGGTAATATAGGTCTATAGCTTAGATGTAATCTAGAATTTTATCTACATTGCTAGTAAAAATAAAATTGTCTGCAACTGTAAATACGAAAAGTCTTCATAACTTCATAATGGTAAATCGGCATTAAGTTCGTCTACAATTATACGGAATAATATAGGTAAAGTTTTTAAGAAAGAATGCTTTGAATGGTCTGAAGGCTTACACCGTCGGTAAAAAAGTATTACAGATTGAACTCTATCAGCTGGCAAAAGCAAAATACAGGGGTTTTCAACCTCGGGTGATTTTTAAATATTCCGGTGTAATGATTCGCTTTGTCGTCTAGCTTAAAAATATTTAGACATTTACAATTTTAGTTCTATTGAGTCAGGCTATATTCTCCAAAGATTGCAGTAAAACGTCAGGGAATATCGCATAATAGTAAGGATTTATAGAGGGGTATGAGGTAATGCAATCAATCAATGATCCTGAAAGAGGTAGTAGAAAGAAAAAAGATTGAAAACCCCTGATATAGAATAAACCACACCGGTTGAATACATGACAATATTTAGCTCTAAATGGACAAGAGCAATATATAGGCCTACCTTTGTTTGAGTTTATTTGAAGTATAGTTATATAAGGTTCCGAAATGATTCAGTATGTATGTAAGATCGTATATGTATCGTGTGACCAGTCCTGAAGGGATGTTGTCCTCTAGATTTGAATTTGACCAAGCTTTAAAGGAATTCGTAGTATTAATTATATTTTCGCTGAGTGTAGACGTAAAAGGTGTCTGATTTCCACATTGCAAAGGGACACGGGAAGCCCACATACAAATCTACACAATAAAAAAAAATTATGGGAATGATGCCCCAATTAAATAGAACCCTTTGCATTTGCCTTTCTTGATGTAATTCTGACATGCGCCATTATTTTAACCGGACACGTAAGGTACGAGCATTAAGAATACCTAAAATTCTAGCTTCATGGGGATTTGGCACCACTTTTTTTTTATACGGGAAGAATTTCCCCATTGTACACTGTAATATTTTTCCTAAAGGGACAGTAAAGGTCCTGTCTCTCGCAAACGCAATGATAACATCGTCTGACTGAAAAAAGGAACTGTGCAAATCGATGATATTAGTTTGCCAAATACATATGAAAAGGCCCTTGATGTAAAATCATTAAGGGGTTAAATTAAAATAACGACAGTGTAAAATTCCATTTTATTTCATTTTCAGCTTGTGACGACGTGACAGAATTTCAGTGCGCTGATAACAACCAATGTATTTCTAAAACTGATACCTGTAATACCATCAACGATTGTGATGATGGCAGCGACGAAAATAATTGCGGTAAGTACAGATCCTGAATTTTTAATTCCATTTCTCATCTTTTATATCAAAACATTATACCAGTCTACTCAGCTGTAAATACGGATATGGATAATCTGGGAAAGATTAATGTCAAACAGAAAAAATCCTGAAAAAATTCTGACAACCGACCAATTCCAATACTGCAACTAAAAACCATACATCACTACTATATGCTGATATATAACTTTCCCTTCCTAACACTCAAGGTTGGCTACGGGCCTGAAATGCATATAATCTGTTATTCTCAAGTCTCGAAACGTTCACCTCTGAAATAATACAAATATACTTTCAATAGACCTATAATATAACAACCTGCCCGAAAAACATTGTATTCATCACACTATCTATCGTATTTATATATTATATTATCTACTGTCAAATCTTGTATTGTATTTGACAAGAAAGCTGTTTGTATTAGTAATATGGATGTTTTGACGGTAGTGAACCTTTACGAACGATTTCACTCCAATTCGATTCAAGGTTGTAAAAAGTAGGTCTCATCTCTACATATTTGTTTGCACTTTCCACGCCTGCTGAGTGTGTGTAGAAACCTCATCAAAAGTGATGAGTAAATTTCTTTGGAGTAAGTTCTCGTGGCTGTTCCCAGCATATCCCCAAATACACACTGCACAGCGTTGTTTGGCGCATCAGCTACAGAAAAATAGCATATTCTCATATTTTCAATCGCTGTCGGTCAGTCGTTTTGATGAACAAAATATACATTAGTACATAAATGAAAATTTGATCTTGATCAAACAATATTATTACTATTAGAAATGTAAGAAATGGTTTAAAAGGGTCCTGGTGGTGAATATGTTGAGTTCGATCGACCGGAAAGTGTTCGATCAAAACATTTGATAAGGCATGGTGTCATTGTCGACTATACCTCTATATATCAGTTATCTACACAGAGAGAGAGAGAGGAAATTTTGATTTAGCATACATGTTAGATTCATTCAATTTACGTAAGATTTTCAAAAACAATCAACTTAAAGGGATTGTAAAGAGGTTTTCTCAATTTCCCATGTGTATCGGGGACACTGATAGTATCATTTTGCACCATTCTAATTTTTGATAGGACTTCTGTGGTTCCTGCAACTCCGCAGGGACCAAGCGTTTGATGACGTCTTTTTCGCAAGATATGTTTCCACCAGTTTCTATGGTAGTTTCATCGTACATAAAACGTTTTGGAAAATCTTTTCTTTCTATTTGATAAAAATACAAACCTGCCAGCCAGCCAGCCAGATTTTCATTCTATACGTTGTCTGAAATCATTCATTTTATTTCAATCTATTTTCAGCATGCCTCGAAAAGCTAGGAATGGAAGATGGAACCATATTGGACTCAAGTTTAATAGCTTCGTCAAGCAAAACTGGTTCTTCTCCATCATATGCCAGAGCATCAAATGACAAAGGTAGCTACACTTGTACAGTTTAATTTATAATAATATAGTTTATTACGACGATTGTCAATTATAAAGGTCTGTCGATATTCTTTTGGTGATTTAGTCCAACCTTTACTTTCTTGTGGTATCTGGTCGAAACGTTGTCCTGTCATATTTGCACAATTAGACAAAAGATATGACAAAGGGTAAAACCCAATTTTATTTTTCATTAACAGACTACATTATCTTCCAGGTAATTGGTGTCCCAAATCTGATGATAGCAAACCCTTCTTCAAAGTCAAATTTGATACACCAAGGGCGATATCAGCTATTGTATTTACGCTCAAGCAATCAGTTGTTGATCCCCTCAACTATTTGTCAACGTGGACATTGAAAGCTGTTCTGCCTGGAAGCGATGAAGAAGTTACACTTTATGAGGTTTGTAGCTATATACATGTAATGTTGATGAATCTGTCTCAAGTGATTCTATTGAACTAGCTAGGACCCAGATGCAAAGAGTCACCAATGCCCCCGAAGGGCGACCTTAGCCCTGTTCATTAGCAGCGGCGGTTAAACGAACGTCTGCTCCCCCGTCAGCGCCTCGTTTTTGCGTGAAAGAAGCTGGAATTTATTTGATTTTGCTGAAACTTGATATGGAACGGTAAGATCTTTTACAACTTTGAATTCGGCAATGTTTCGACTAACAAATTTTGAGTTATCACCCTTGGCGTTGATGACATTACTTACCATTATCTAACTTTAGGATTAAAAACCATAGAATAGAATATACATGGTTATAAAATTAAACAGCTTTGGAGTTGCTACCGCAAATATCTTTCAAACCAAATAGGAACATCACAATCTATAATTTCAGCATCCGTAGATGTCTGTCGGTTGTGGAATGTATCAGCTTCAAAGTCTCTGTATCTATCGTTCACAAAAAATTCTCTTTTCAGGGTCTCAATGCATTCTCAAATAATTCGTTATACAGATCGCTGTTCTTCCCTTCACTTGTTACAGACACCTTCATCATAGCACCAACAACATGGCAGAATGAACCATGTTTAAGCTTTGAGCTTTATGGCTGTAATATTGATAGTAAGTTTCCTTATAGGATTCGGTGGTGTTTCTACAGAAGGGGGGATTGCCCTTGAGTCATACTTGACAATTCTGTGATCCCTACTCGGCCCCTCATGTGATGATTCATTGAAACGCTAATAATTGCATTGCTACTGATGCCTAGGTCCCAACGATCTTTTTTAATTTTGCTTCGATGATGCATTTCCAATGTAAAAAGAATAAAAAAATTTGACATAAAACTCCCTGGCATTCCCCTCTTTGGGAACGTATGAACCATAAAAACCACAAAGGACAGTGATCAAAGGAAGAGCTGAAAAGAGAATTGTCTGGGCTGTTATTGTTTCATATTTTATATAAAATGAAGAAAACAATGTTTCAAACTAGAAAGAAGATTAACAACTCTACTCCGCATAGTGGTAGTTTTTTATTGTCAGGCTAGATCAAACATTCCTTTCTGGTATAAAACGGTACATTACTATTTATGTAACTTCTTTCATTGTAGATCTTTGTCCTACTGGTTGTCAGAACAATGGTAAATGCTCTGGAAATGATATCTGTGCCTGTGCAGATGGTTATTTTGGTACAAAATGCCAGTTTCAAAGTAAGTGTTATCCAAAGTTGTTAAATGCGTTGTAGGTTCTAAAATGGTCCAAAATTACTTTTTATTGGTTTGTCGACTCAGTAAGACTTATGTTTCCTGTCAGCATGGATTGCAAATATTTTTTCGACTCGGTTACAGCTATTATTTTTTTTAAGAATGGGTTGCATTGAATGATTGTAGCGATAGTTGAATCATTCTTGGACTCAGATTATTGAAGCCACAGAATTCGGAGCCACAGATGTCGGACAGGGTATCGGAATAATGCTGATAGATGCTTAATTGTCCTCGACATATAATAACACGTATTTTTGATTTATTTTGATTTATAATCTTTAATCATTGCTCTAATTTTCTCATTGTTTCAGAAACTACCATACCATTCAGCAGCTATATATTTAAATCTCTGGAATCCGGATCTTTAGTAACCTCTTCAGAGACCTTCACTGTCAGGACCTCCACTACTATTAGAACTTCTAAAATTATAGAAATACAGGGAAGGAAAGTTCTGAGTTTACCCGTAGCGGATTATTTTACGGTAAGTTATAACGCCTTGGTTTTTAGTTCAAATTGGTCTCATTTCAGGGTAAAGGCATGTGCAAAACAGAGGATTATGGGGACAAGGATAACATAACAAAACAGATCAGATTTTTTCAACCTGTTGGTAATAAGGCGACAAGCATGAAGTTATAATTCAAGTCTTTCTATTCAGGCTTTATTCTTTGACATGAAACAGTGGCAGGGGAAACCTGCCACAAAATCATGAAATTGTAAGGATTTATAAAGGGAAAGGGACCGATCAATGCTTTTGAAAGGGGTAAAAAAAAAAAGATTGAACCCCTCTCTTAGATCATGGGCAGCATCAGATATTATACTTTGGTGACATTCTGCAAGTTTTGTGGAAATTGCAAAAGAAACCGAAAATACTTTCAATTCTCACTTGTACACCAAACTTTGAGACTGATCTCTTATTTCAAATAACTTTCTATCTTTAAAGCTATCATGCTCTAATTAGATTAAAATTGATTTTTTTACGACTGTATGTCCGCCATTAGACCACTTCAATGAATGATAATGTTTCATTTTAGGCACCAAAAGATGGTAAATTTGGTTGTTTGTCGAAATTAGGAAGTGGTGGTTGTAAATCATTTTATTTGGCATTGGGGTGTGAACTCGAGGAACTCAAGGACACGGTGCAGCTTTTTACCACCGGATCAGATTCGACGTATATCGGAGCTGAGGCTACACTAAAATCCGATAATTTAGTAGTTACCTTCCGAACGTCCGAACTGATCTGGACTCTTAACGTACGAAAGACTAATATGTTCTCGTCCTCCATTAAGTACGTTTTAGAATTTGACTGGGATATTTCTACCGGTATTCGAATTTACGTCAACAAGAAATTAATTGGACAACAGAGACAGGCAACTCGAACAACCCAGGTTCTCAGAACGAACACACTGGCAACGAGTGGGGTCGAGTTCTTCAAGTCCAAGAGTGTTAACGTCAAGTTGTTTTCCTTAAAATCGTCCAGTGTTAACAGAATCAGTTTGATCAAAACTTCGTTGATTTCACTCACACCAACAGAAGGTGAGTTAGCTATATGAGCTGATTATGATTTGTGTACAAAAAGAGAAAGAAATACAATACGATTCTTGTTATTATTTATCAGGAGCCCACTTTCCCTTTAATGTTTTGCGTTTGCAGCTTAGGGTTAATCAGTAACGGCGCCAGCCTCTGAAGACTAGGGGTAGAAACAGGAGGCAGACTGACTTCATTGGCCTATGTAGCTCATAAGAAATTTTCAAAAACAGAAGGCATTTGTGTCTTCTGATTACTAAATTCGCTAGAAATGAAGTGAGGTTCAATTGAAGATACAAAGCAGTTTTCTATGAGCCCTGCACCCCACCCCCACTGGCGCCACCACTGGGTGCAATCTGTCAAAATTTCAACAATTTGTTATTTTATTCTCGACTTTTATTTCAGAATGTGATCAAGAGAAAGAACATAAATGTGCAAACAGTGATAAATGTATAGATAAATCAAATGTCTGTGATTCGGTGGAGGATTGTGACGATGGAAGTGATGAACAGAATTGTCGTAAGTTCGTTTGCCATTTCCCCTTTTCCAGTTACCCCACACCTTCCTTTCTTTTATGAAGCTGGTTTTAGTTATGGTACTTTCACCTCTTTTAAGTTATATTCCGCTTTTTCATATCAGCACTCCAACCCGTATCCATGGGAGAGGAAGACGGGGTTGAGAAATCCAAGAGTATATATCTAGATCTGTGGCGGATTGTAATCTTGACCTCCAGATCAGCAAGCAAGCGTCCAGGAGTTGCACATTATCATCAGGTGTTTCAGAGTTGCTTTACCCTGTCTCGCTTGCAAAACCCATAACAATTCTAATTGGAGCTCAAATTTCAGCTTTTGGACTGGGACTGAAAGCTTAAAGCTTAAAGATTGAATGAATTTTATAACAATGACATCTTATTTCCAGCAACGACAACATGTGATGTGAAAGTGTATAAAAAGTTAGTCACTAAATCTGCCAGTCTATCTCTGGACCTGTTGGAAGTCGATGATGCTCAGAGGGTGGCGAAATGCACGTAAGTTTTAGAATGAATTCATCCTATAGATATATAAAATCTATTCTCAAAATGGCAAAGATTTATATAAACCTAAAGCCCATATCTAATCCTCTAAGCATCAAAAGGCGGTTCCTTACAATGTAATGCTATTACAATCTGCGTCTAATAGGCTCTTTTGTGTATCACGAAAATTTTGAAATGCAGCGATTTTATGGGTTTGACTGTACGCTAACGAATCAAATTACGCGATACAAGAAAATAGTCCAATGAAATCAAGGTATTAGACACAGTTCGTCATGGCTTGACACTGTGACGATGTTAAAGTTGTAAGTCCACATTCTATTTCCTAATTTCATAATACTATATCCGAAATAGTCCAAAAGATCTGCCTATATTCCAGTCTCTGATAGATATTTTGACAGTTATCGGCTACCAGAGGATGGAATAGAGGCAGGTGTCTCGGACTATATCCGAAACAGCACAGAATATGTTACACAAACGCTAATATCTTATTATGACGTTACAAGTGACATAACGTCACACTCGCAGATTTTACTTTTCAAGTGAAAGTCACGCTGCAAGTTTTCAGAGCGAATTTCGTGTAATTTTGAGAAAGTTGGAGATATTTTGAAAGACGACTATGACTATTCTGTAAGTATTTTTTATTCCTAATCTACTCTTGAACTTACGGTGTTATGATATCACACGGGAGTTAAATTTTGCTTGTTTTTGGTCGTTTAACGATTTGTGATTTACTCTTTTTAAGATAATGTACTATTGAAGAAGTGTTATAAATGGCCCTCACATCATAGCGATCAGCAGTTGGGTATGGTTGCGTATAAAAATAGCGGTCATAAGCCTCGAGCGCAACTTTCATGAAACTTAGTTGTGAGTTGCATTCGGAACACATGAACACTTTCATTATTTGCAACCATACACAAATGGTAATCGCTATGGTGTGAAGGCAACCATTTCGTTGCTGTAAATCTGTCCAAGAAAATATCATGGCATGGCTCGTAAAAGAAGCCTGTAACACAATATAGTCGGCTGATTTGCTACCAAAAACCTTGTCATTGAAACCAAAAGCTACACAACTCCTTTGGGCTTAAAGGGATTTCTTTTAAATGCTTTAGACACTGCTCGTCAAAACACTTACGTATTGCAAAAAAATCCTATGATCATTTTGAATTTTATTGGAATATATTTGAGAACCGGGGTATTTTTTTGAAATAGAAAGGGAAGATGGGGCGGGGCTTGTTTCTGAGGGAACTCCATTGTTTTCTGTTCACTTATATCTATTATGACGTCATAATGAACATAACGTCAAATTGGTCTAAAAGTCATTAGCTTTTGGATTTTCATAGCGAAAAGAAGCGTTTTAACACTGCTCTGAAATATTTTACAAGTTATATTTCTGTGTGGACGATAAACTATGGCAATCACGTAAGTAAATCACCAGCACTGATTGTAAAAAGAATTGTTTATTTCATTCTTACCAACACCAACGTAAAAATCTTATATTAAGTTTAATGTTTCTATTTGTAATTGCAGATTACCAGTTATAAGCTACGTAGTGGATGGGATCTTATTGGATTTTCTGTCAAAGAACCAATATGGAGACCAACTCTCCGCTACTAATGGTATGTATAAATTTTATTATTTCGTTCTAAACAAAACCATAATAAATACTAGATTTCTATTGCAAAAAACTTCTGGGTATTCTTTGCTTTAACGATCATTTGCATTGAATAAGTTGGGAAGGGGCTTATTCATGGTTAAGAATATTCGAAAATACGATTTTGTGAATGTTAGTCATGTAGTCTATAATGATTTATTTTATATTTCAGATCTTGGTGCAAACCAAAACCATAACAACAACAACAAAGACGACAATAACAACAACAAGAAATCTTCCCAGGATGAGTTTAAAGAAGATGTATTCAACTGGGCTGATGAACCATGGACTCCCTGTGATGATGTTGAGGTTCCTGACTGGGCCAGGATGGATGGTAGGTTCACCTGGATGGATTCTTTTCAAAACTGTCAAAGGACATTGCCAATCAGCAACTGAATTACGTCCTTAAACAAAAAGCAACAAAACGTTACTTATAAACTGAGATCAAACCTCTTTGAAATTCAGTAAAATGGATTCGACGCCTCAAAGCATTCATATCATTGACAGTATGTCTAATGGCTGTTTTATATTATTTTCAGATCCGACATTCGACAACTTCAATTCTGAGTTGATATGGGCTGAAGACCCATGGACCCAGTTACCACTCGTTGGACTTCCATCATGGATGTTGCTTCCCGGGATCGACTACCCTGTAGAAGCAAAAGACCCCGTGGTATATACTCCAGTCAATGACGAAGATGATGCTGCATTTTTAGCATCTGGTATAGATATTGTCAACTGGAGTGACGAACCCTATTTCCAGTTACCTCTAGATGTACCAAGATGGGCCCTGCTACCCGGTATTGACTATCCAGTTCGTCATGGATATAACAGCCCCTACTGGACGTATAAATTGAACCAATACAACAGTTCAAGACGAGAGTTTGGAAAGAAAATGTTCGCCAGACAATTTCCAACGTTAAGAGAGGAACGGGTTTTATATAACAACAACGGACAGTCCAAGCTGTGTATACCTGGAAATTTTCAGAGAAGAAATCACAGATTTTAAGAAGAATGCATTTCTGCAATATATTCAGACTTTTCGATTTTTCGATCATTTTGGCTTTTATTTATATAACACTGTGCAATATTCACTGATATCATTTTGTTTGGATTTACAATAAATTATTTTCATATTGGCATATACTTGTAGTTTTCATTCATACTGAGTAAAGGCTTTGATCTGAAACCTGTTGATATTTCCCTCGTCTCTGGCGAATTCCAACCTCTGCCCAATCTGAACAATTTATATATCCTATAGAAATGCAAACTGTATCTAGATAAACCTTTATCTTACCCAATATCATTATATTGGAATAGAAAACAATCCTACTTGCTATAGTAACAATCCATGGTGCACTAAACGTATAAACTTATAATCTACACTATATAGTCATTTGGATAAATCTATATCCTGCTCATGACAAACTACATGAATAGAGACACCTAGAAACAAGCTTTGGTAAAACAAAATCAAATAAACAATATCTGTTACGTTTTTGAAACGATGTTTACGTAGACAGCAATCCAACCACCTCTCTTAGCAAAGCAATCTAGGTGACACTTTTAATAATGCCGATATCATCACATATCGCCTCATTGTCATTGCATTTTCCAAAGAATCATCCCAGAACAATAAAAGACAATTTACGTGGTCCACAATTCAGTCAATGCGATAATCCATCCTCTCATATCCCGTATACTTTCCAGAGAACTAACGACTACTATAGAATCTAGTATCAAGTCTATGTCAGAATGTTGGGATGTCAAAGATAGCTCCGTGTCTTCTACCAATGAAATTACAATCTTACGCCACACTTTACGACCTCATTTACAAACTTTTAAAAAGCTGAAAACAAAAATCTGCGATGGTAAATATTTCAAGTTTTGTTTTGAAATTGTGATCGATTTTACAAAGAGAACAACGCCTTTCCAGATCCGTCGCCATTTTTAAAAAGACAGACACTTTCCATATGCATTAATAATGTTAGGTTCAATACAGAGACATCATATCCGGTCTATGGTATGATGACTTTTCGAAGAAGGATGCAAATTAAAGAGTTTTACATCTTTGCAATGCACACGAGAACCTCATAACGATCTAAAGAAATAATGATTCTAAGATGGTTGATGTTAACGCACTTATTACCCATGAAACTATCAATGGAATGGCCTTACTACTCCTATATTTGTTTCAAATATAAAATTCTTATTATACTGATTTAAAATTTCTTTCAGGTGAAAAAATTACGTTCGGTGAGTTCTTTTAAGATTTTACACTCATTCATAATATATATAGATGTGAGTCATAAGCTTCAATTCTGCTGATGCTGTCAGTCTAGACAAGTTTTATTTTAATATTGTTATATCGCTCTTTAATTATTTAATTGAGCACAACTCGTTATCGTGAACCGTATTGAGTAAAGTAACCTCACTATCTGTTTCAGAAAGTACAGAGAAATGTAAAGTTGAGAATGTTGCGAAGTGTTTTAGATCTTTCTATCAGCATACCATTGGCAGCAGTTCTTCTATAACAGGCACCTGCAGGTAAATTGTCTTAAACATATTTTGTCATTGAAGTTACGGATGTAATGAGTGGATTCCACAACAGTAAAAATAGTCAAATACACGAGCCTGGTGTTAAAAAAAAACAATTTCTTCAAAAAGGATGACAATTGAAAAGGTTCGGGGTCACATCTGCAAAAAAATTATATAATATAATACTCCCGTTGTGATGAATTTGTTGAAAAGTATTTTTTTAATAGAATGCAGTAAACATTCTATACTTTTCAGTTCTACGAGATCATCCTTTAGATGTGTCACAAGGACAACAGAAGAATGTCCAGAGACGTTAAAATCTGTTATCAGTGATCTCACCAATGAAATGAAGACCACTATCACATCCTTCTGTTCACCAGCCTCTTGTAACATCGAGTACAGCAAACTCTGTTTAGCTGATCCTGTTCTGGAACAGGTGACTGTTCAAGATGGTAAACTGTCTAAAGATTCTTGCAAGTAAGATTCCTGCCCTGATTTGGTTCCTTCGGATTTCACTTGCGTGGCTCTGGTTTATGAGTGATAACTGAAAGGAACATGCTTTTATATTACAGATTACATAGAGCATTTACCACTATAAGGATTATAATGTATAGACGCATGGGCCGATCTTCCTAGAATGTGGATGTATTCGATTGTTACAAATGTCCATCCATAGTCACCATCTATCAGATGTTGTTGGTTACAATTTTGCCAAAACAATAAAAGTCAATAACAATCAAGTAGGAAGACATGAAATGAGCCCGTGAGAGCTAACCTTGATCTTTTAAGATGGAAAGGCATCAGGTTAAAGTTCAAAGTCATTAACACTCCTTAAAACAGTATTGTTTATTTGAATTATTTTATAGGAAATTAAAACAGGTTCTTTCGTGTGTAACTAACCATACAGTGGATTGTCTCCCCTCAGAGTATATTAAAGTACAGTCAATGGTAGAAGAGAAGAGAGTATTGCACAGCGAGAAATGTCCTTTAATACCAGAACCCGAGTGTGAACGCTCTATCAAACCTTCAGATTCTATACTAGCTGAATTGGCATTATTTAATAGTGGTCTGATTCCTTCATCTGTTTGCAGGTTTGTTCTCTGATATATGGGGGATCTTTGGCCAAACATTTGGTCATTGACCTTTTCTGCATTATCAATGTCAATATACAGTCGGTTGGACTGGAATAATGATGAAAAATTACCAGACCTTTATGTCAACCGAGTTATGGGAACGAAGTCTGTCCATTGGAATAATGTCTCCAAATAAGTATTGATGGTTTTAAAATGTCTGGTATTACATATTTTCAGTAACCAACTCAAAGTTGACACGACCACATTAGAAGATAACAGTGATTCTCAACTTCTTACAACTTATAGAAATACCAAGATTGAGCAATTCTGTAAGTATATTTCATTGTCTGTACATGGATTAAGAAATTTGATAAGCATTTAGAACGAATTACGGAATGTGAGCGCATACTGATAATATAGATAGAAAGGAAACAGCCATCGTTTTACATGGATAAACATTTAGGCTTCCAGGGATACCGTCTACCAGTTGGTTCTTAATTAACCAAATCTCTCGGGTTTTCTAGATTATCAAAACTCATTTACAGCTGGCTTGACTGGAATAATGAGAAATGATTCAAGATATTGTTTCATCACGATTTTGCAAAAGTTGATTCTAACATAAAAGAAAAAATCGAATTTAGGTTCACTAGGATACTGTCTATTCCTTGGAAAAACATCTAGTCATTGATCTTTCCTGGATTAGTTGTACCAACGTACACTTGTTGTGCAACAGGAATCTGTTTTTACACAATGTTCACCTCTACTACTGTATCTTTTCAGGTAAATGCAAAGAATGTGATACTGTTAAAGCTGCACAAATTATCGCCGAGATATCCGCTGAATCCGATATTTGCTCGTAAGTACTACAGATATTATTACATTCTCGTTGGAAGAATGGTAATAAAATTAGAAACCTTTACCCAATTGAATGATCCATTGTGTACAAACAGAAAATATTACAGTTTCCATTTTCTCACATCTTGATATCTCGACAGGGAATTCCCGGGAGCTTTACAGTACAAATTGCTGTCGCGGTTGCCGCTAGAAGGCAGAGTATGATATCTTGGAACACCTGATACCAATCTGCGTCTGTGTACCTAATATCATTCATCCATTCCTTCATTCATTTCAGAACGTTGTCAAGGTTTGAGGAACTAGGCCAGGTAATAAGTGGTTGTAATTCGGATGAAGATATAACGGCTGTCACTGATCTTCAAGGTGATTTTATCTCCAGTTGCACAGAGTCTCTACCAACCTGTCAGACCAAAGTCTGCTCACCAAGTAATTGGGAAACGTGTTTGAAAGATTCTCGCACCTGCGCGTAAGTGTTCCTTTGCTTTAAGTATAATCTGGTTATCGTCTCTTCAAAACGTTTGAAACACGTTCACACATTTCTACCATGTTTCCCTTTAGAGAGTAAATCTCTTACTAGGAGCCATCCTTTTGTGAACTCGTTCACTTGTAAAATTTGCGGAACCATGACGATGTAATAATTCAAGCAAATGGAAAGTGAAAATTTCAAATGTCAAAAAGTTATAAAAATTGAATAAAAGAATTCTAAGGGGGCCAGCCGAAGCCTTAGATCCCCTAAACCTCAATTTCTCTTAGCGACAATGAGCGTGATCGTGCCATCAAACCCTTTACATTGAAGATGAAATGCACCTGATAAGGAAATGAATGCCTTGAAGTACGCAATGAAAGAAATTAATCAGGATAACGGTACAATACTATTTTAGAGAACAGTACATAGGTTTATTGTCCCGTCCGGGTGACTCAGCTCAGCAAGTCAGCTCTTACGCCCCAGACCTGGACTCGGTTACATCGAAGCTGACGCGTTGAATTTGAATTGAAAGTTGATATCAAAATGTTTTCAATCTGAATTTTAGGGATATCCTGACCTGCCTGACAGATGAATTAAAAGATTGTGAAGATGTAGAAAAGTTCAGATATTTCGCCGAAGCTAAAGTACGAGCGTTAGAATTACCCTGTACCTTAACAGAGATATTTTCAGTCGGTTCTGTCGAGCAGGGAGTGTTTGTCTGTTATGAGAGTGCTCATAAAGAAATAATGAAATTTCCTCCACGAAACGATCAAATGGTACTCTATATGTGTCCAACCTTCGACACTTTTAAAAGCTGTGTGAAGAAAATTGATAAAATAGATGCCGTGACGGACTTGGCGGTACAGAGATATCTGAAGGTATTTGAACGGGTAGAATCGGTGGCATGTGACAGTTGGAAGACAGGTGATACCATCCAATCTGGCTTTAGTGGTAATGGTAAATGTGACATTAACGGGGGAAAGACCTGTCTCGATGATGTAGGGGATATATTGGTGAACCTCGGGCCAGATGATGATCTTGATCAAGTCTGTAGGTAAGACAATCATGTTATTTACATCGGTTATAGACATTCAGACCACAGTTAACTTTCATTATGCCAAGCAATTTTATAGATAGTTTGACTCGATAGTTTAGTATGGTCTTCCATTCTGATCACAGTAAACTGTCATTGTGACAAGCAATTTTCAAGTCAGTTCGACACGATAGTTTGGTATGTTTCGATCACAGATAGTGCTCTTGACTTTGTGAAAGGCGTCACAATTTTACTTTTAGCGCAAAAGAAGGAATTAGCCCATGTTATCATCTTATTAATTGCTTTTTGGGTTTTAGCTCTTGAATGAACTATAATAAGTTTGGTTAATATTTGGATTTTTTTTATTGATTAAAGTATTTTATTGATTTTCAGCGCTGGAATATTGGAGAAACTACGATGTGCTGCCACCTCGGTATCTGATAGTTGTATCGCAACAGAGAAATCAGATTTTACTCTCTATGATATCGCCTACGGACAGATGTATACCGCGTACCAATCAGTCTGCGGACAAGATAAACTACCAAACCTAGGATTAACTACAGGTTCGTTTAACTCTATTTTTTTAAAGGAAACCCCACACCATAGCGATAACCAGTTGCGTATGGTTGCAAATAAGAACAGCGCTCATAAGTTTCGAACGCGACCCTGTTGTAATTAGTTTTGAGTTCCGCTCGGTCTCGATCACTTTCATAATAATTAATAAATATTTTGCTATTGTGATCTTCTGTGGGAAGAAATTAAATCTACAATATGTTTGAATTTTTTTTCCCCCTTTTATTTATAGAGACATTCTGTGGAACAGAAAGGAAAGCTTCAGTTTGTGTCGCCAAATTTGTGAACCACGTTTCCACCAACGCTTATTCTGTACATCAACAAAAATCTTGCAGGTAAGTTTTCTGTTGCTACATCTAAAAGGACTAAAGAGCTTCCGCTGAATTTTTAAAAAATCATTATGAGCTTTTGCTTTTTGTTGTATAGTAATGTAATTATAATAGTTCATAAAAATGGGCCCCCTTCTACCATGAATTTGAATGGTTAATGGTTACATTAGTCTTAACCATTAACCATCGAATGTCAATAGTAGAGTTGTACAACTAACCACAAGTCAGCATAAGTAGATCAAAGGACCATTCATTATTGTGGTTATTGTGGTGATAGTAGATGTTAAAGGCAGCTATATTCATGCCTCGCTTTTCAATTGATTTTCACCCAATGTTTTTAATTGCATATATTTGTCATTTGTGCTCGTACTTTTACCTGAACTTTTACATATCGTATGCTTTTCAGTGAGTTAAATGAACTGAAGGAGTGTCTGAACTCGCAGCTTTACTGTAATGAAGAGTCGAGTAAGAAATACCACGCAATTTTAAAATGGGCTGTCGACATTACCAGTCTGTTTTGTGCTCCTGTTACAACCGACTGCGACGTCGATGAAATCAAAACATGCGTCAAAGATTACCTTACAGGACTGTATTCAAGTTCAGATGACATTAAGATCTGCAGGTAAGGTTGCGTTCGTGGTGTTTTATGGTTGATCTTGAGAAATGAGTCCAAACTAGTTTATTAATACAATTTTTATCAATTCGTGAATTTGTCGACGTGGATCGATTCAGAATCTGTAGCTTTTAATTAACACGAATGTGTTTCTCGACCTTACAGCGAATTGAAAAAGACGAAAACGTGTATTGAAGAGAAAACAGCTAAATGTTCGGACTATCTGAAGCAGTATGGTAAGCGTCAGTTGCATCAAGCCGTAGGATTGTCACCAGAATCCTGCCAGAAACAGCTTCCATGTGAGATCTGCGATCCTGCTGGTGCCATCAATTGTATCTTAGACGTCCATCACTGGTCTAAATTTCTTTACCCCAACTGGCAACAAATCTGCCCGTAAGTAACCATCTAATCTTTTGAAGTTGTACACCTCTTTTATTGAATTTCGAGATGCTTTTTAGGTGATAGAAATAATCGTTTTGAAATTATGAGAGTTAATGAACCGATTTTCATGTACAATTACGACAAAATGTCATGCTTTTACAAGATTTCAGAATTTCGTGACGATTGATATTCTAAAGCTTTTATTATATAGGTATTAATATGATAACATGACCATATTTCATATTGACATTATTTTATGGTACCCATTGGACTTTCAGATAAACAATCTTCATATTATTAGGGTAATTTGTCCGGAGGATTTTGGCGCATCGCTTTATTTGAGAATTCCTAGACTAACAGTATATATTAAGTAGATTTTTTAGAGCTCCAGATTGGTCACTGGTCACTAGGTTACCTTAAACACCTTAAACGACCAATGATCAATGTATTTTTATTCCGTTCTTTCAAACCTCTGGGTAAATGAGCAGGTTGCACTGAACCACTTCAATGACAATTTGTATTTTATTTCGTTCTTTCAGAGCTCTTGATAAGTCAGCAGGTTGTGTCAAACAGCATTTAGAGTCGTGTGAGGAGTGTGAGAAGGACACAGTTAATGGTATTGTAACCAAACTCAACTCCAGACTGAAAGATACCTGCCAATATCCTCCTCAAACCAAGTGTAAAATACAAGAAGCTAGACAATGTATAGAGAAGCTACGATATGACTGGTCGGAGATGTCTGTGGATGTCGACGATGAGTTGGAAGATTTTATGTGTCTGTACGTAGGCCTATCACTTTTCTTTAGAAATATTGTACCAGGATTTGAAGGAGTTTGTATTTCATTATTGGGACACATTTCGTTTAAAATGGTATTTGCGATGGTGACTTCTTAATCTGGTTAATGAAATTGAAAGTGGGATTGGTGCAAGTTAGTTAGTAGAATCTATGGAGCATTTTCTTCTGTTTAGCTCATTTTGCAAAATGCTATGCCATATTGCATGCAATTGTAAATTTGGAACAGTCTCTCTTATTGTAAGAAGCGTCTACTTAACTACATCGTGCGTCAGTCAATTCAGTTTGCACAGACTCTACATATATAGAAGTATGAAAATTGCAAGCGGAAAGTAACTATGTTTGGCACAATTGCAGTTTTCTATGAACAGAATCCTAACAGGACAGAGTCAAGCCAATCATTCCAACCGCAAACCTTTGTTGAAATATAATATAGAAGTGTCGGTATCATTAATAGACTTACTAACCTCATTATTTTGGTTATCATTTCAGGCGCATATCTGAAGCTAGAAACTGTCTCTATGAGACAATTGAACATTGTGAATTTGAGACCGCTATCGTATTAAAAACAGATTTAGAAAAATTGGTCTCGAAAATGGATGCCTGCGACGACGAAAACAGTTTAGAAACTTGTCTGAATCTGTTTGATGAAAATAATGAATATCAAACCATTAAAGACTGGCATCAGTAGCAACTCTAAAGACAAGGACTCTAAAGACAAGGACTCTAAAGACAAGGACTCTAAAGACAAGGACTCGAAAGACAAGGACTCTAAAGACTCTAAAGACAAGAACTCTAAAGGAAAAAAATCTAATGGGAAAAAGTCCAGAAGAAGGAGAGCACCCGGTTCTAAAGAGAAGAAAAACACGGGGGAAAAGCACACAAAAGAAAAGCACACGAACGAAAAGCACACGAAAGAAAAGGACACGAAAGAAAAGCACACGAAAGAAAAACACACAAATGAGAAGGACACAAAAGAAAAGCACACAAAAGAGAAAAACACAAAAGAGAAAAACACAAAAGAGAAGAACTCTAAAGAAAAAGACTATATGAATACAGATAAACTGGAGGTCCAGTGCAAGAGATTAGTCCAGTCGTGGAAATGTATACAGTTTCAAATCGTCTCCGCTAAAACACCAAGAAACCTTGCTATTAACCTAACCATAGCCAGTTTTTATCAACTTGCACTTCACAAATGCCAAGGTTTGATTTTAAATACTTTCCACTTAAATATCAAAGTAAGGGACCATATAAGTTGCACATTATTAATGATTTCTCTCAAATGCAAAGTAACGTCATTGATTGAATGATGCTGAATGTGTTTCGTCCAGTGGAATTGACCACTTGTGGTTTTGTAGGTTTTCTCCCCTAAAAGTGAATAATTAATGAATAAATAAAGAAAAATTCAGATAGCATACGGCAATTCGGCACGCTTTAAAATGCCACCTTACCATGTCATTGATTACACTAAGGCTCCTGTCTTATATTTCAGTATTACAGAATACCGAGTTGACTTGTCACAGCTGTACTCATAAACCTGATAATGAAGAATGTAACAAGGAACCAAGCCAGACTTGCTCTGGCAATCAGGTGAGTTATCAGCTAGTAAATACTTTACTGGTACTGGAATGGGGGTAAATAGGTGTTGTGATCAACGGAATTTGGTCACAGTATATTGGTCATAAGGTACATTTGTGACAGATATAATCATGGTCACAATAAAATTGGGCGTAATTCCACTGTTTCCTAATTACGTTGTCATTATCATTTTAATTTGTCCTGTGCTTTATTCCATATAGCGTTTCAACAAATTGCACTGTGGTCATGAATTGTAACGATATGCTATCTAATTGACAGATGTGTCAGACAGTAGTAGAGACTGATGATAATGGTGATAAGAAATGGAGCAAAGGATGTATAGATATAGACCAATGTAAACCTGGTCGATATTACAATAAATATACACATTGCTGTAGAGGAGATTATTGTAATGCTGAATCCGTAGCACCTGTTCATGGTATGTCTTATTCTTCATCTTCGTCTTTGATCCGGTTATCACGTTCAGGTTTTTAAACCCGGTTTCACCTGACCGTTACGCAGGTTGGAGTGACCTACATGCAAAAACGTCTCTCATTTGACACAGCATAGCACGATGGAGATCATTGGCATTTCGTAATCGAATAGATTCATGCTAACGGCCCGTCATTTTACACTAAATGGTGGTGAATGTCTTCCTCAGTTCAAGGGATAGAAAAGAATCACTCAACTTCATTCTCTTTTCTATCATAAAAATCTCTTTATTTTCATCGTAATGTTCCAGGCGGTTGTAACATCGAAGCAGCTAAAGTGTGTTCCCGACGTTTGGTAATTGGTTTGCTACTAACAGAAGATTTAAACTGCAGGTAAGCTGAGGATGTGTCAGTACTCAGATATATTAGGCATCAAACTTATACTGTGAAAGAATCTGCAACGAGCAATGGGACAATAGATCTATAATCCAGCAATTTTTGTTATATGTAGTCGCTAGTACCACTTCGTCCACCATAAGCATAGTGAGAGGAGTCAATATTTCACCTAAATTACGTGAATTATTGGCTGTATTTCTATCATCTTAGACATCCCTTCAGGTAGATCTATTCAAAGGCAGGTGCCCCTCAATGAATGTATGTATATTGTATGCTGTTCTTTATAGTACGTAATGATTTAATATATTATCTTAACTTCGATAAATGTACGCGTTTTACCCACTGGTTATAAAGTTATTAGGATTCTTATCGTCTTTAAATCTGTATTCAGCGTACTAGATGAAGAGCTGTCCTGCATGGTTGACGTGAGGAAAGAGTGTGTAGAAACGGGTCACAAGTGGCATCTTCAAACTGTTGACCTTCTCCACAAATCATCTGAAGCCAAACAGTGTAGATTGAAGCAGCTCGATACAGACTGTGGTGTAAACAGTATCAGGTCTTTATATCAGTCTCTGAAGAACCCTGATATTCTTGTTGACGATCTCTGTAGGTAAGTTGTGCTCAACAGGTACTCCCTCTCCATTCCTCAAATATCTTATCATTGTATATAGCAGGCAGACCGAAACATCGGCCTCTAATCCAGCCTCTAATAGCTATTTTGAAAGTTGTCGATGTTCCCTAACATTGAGACTGGCCCGGCTTTGCAAACCCCCCACCTCACACACATTTAAATTTTATCATCATTATGCATAGGGAAATAATTGCCTGTTGGCACCCACTGACAATTCTCTGGCCACTACTCGGCCCACAATGATTCATATAGAGACTCCACTTGCCAGGCCTGATGTATTGGTCTGATTATTTTATTTCAAGCCACACCTCATATGTTTTCAGCTTATTGGATGTAGTAGGCAAAAAGGTACAAGCTGTAAGAAGTGATCCGAGATGTTCAGATAAACTAAAAGACATCAACACCTCTTATCTCGTCACTACTCGGCCCACAATGATTCATATAGAGACTCCACTTGTCAGGCCTGATGTATTGGTCTGATTATTTTATTTCAAGCCACACCTTATATGTTTTCAGCTTATTGGATGTAGTAGGCAAAAAGGTACAAGCTGTAAGAAGTGATCCGAGATGTTCAGATAAACTAAAAGACATCAACATCTCTTATCTCGTCATATGGTACAGATTTAACGGCGTCAAATGCCGTGAGGTACTTCCGGTTTGTATAAACGATAAGAAGGAGAACTGCAATGCTAACCCAGTCTGTGACTATATTGAGATTATACAGGAATGTTTCCACACCCAGAAGTATGAGGGATTAGATACTTGTCAGTAAGTACATTGAGTGTCATTGTATTATTCTGTAAAAGACGTTGTAATCAGAGGCTTTTCTACCATGGATACTGGTTTTAATACAAAATAAAAAAAAAGTTGATTATATTTGGCAACCATTCCTATCTCTTTCAGGAAAGTCCAGAAGCAGTATGATTGTACACAGTATTTCAGTAAACCATGCAGTCGACATGTGGTGCTCCCCGGTATAGTGGATCTGGTTTTCAAATCATACGTACAACAAGAGGACATAAGCAGCTGTTCCTCGCTCGCCATCACACCTGAACTCAAAATGTATGACTATACTCACGTGTATTCATGCCTTGCAAAATTCCTGTCCACATCAGCACCGACCGAGCACTCGTTATTGAATCTGGGAACAAGGATGAATCAGTTAGAAACCTGTTTGATGGATATTGATATTTCTACAATTAATGCTGAAACGACTATTACCAAGATGACTTATATAGGGGTACAAGAAGTTATGTTATACCTTATGTCCAGCTTCAAAACGAGTAAGTTAATGATTATTAATATGGGGGGGGGGGGGGGGGTGGTGGTTGGGGGGGCATT